ACACACATACCGTCACCCGCGTATGCAGCGCGGATCATATCCGTCACTGACGACGTCACCGTCGTGACATGAGCAAGCTTATAGTCTGGTCTGCGTGACAACGCATCAGCCAAAGCATTTTGCTTTCCAGGCTTATACATCACCTCGAAGTTATATTCTGCAAAGAATGAGAGCCACCTGGTCATCCTCTGCGAGAGTTGAGGCCACTGAGTCGCAGTGCGCAGTGACGCATGATCAATGTGAATCACAAACAATTCTGAGCCATGCAGATGCACCCTGAACTTGACAAGTGCATACTTCATCGCAATAAATCCTTGGCGTGGACTGGGTAGTTCCTCTTCGCAGCTTTAAGCCGGCAAGATTCGAACGCGATCACTTGATCTCACCCCTTGGCGTCTGCTTGCGGCAGTGCACAGCCGATGGCAAAGTCCGAAGCGTCACAGACGACACCAAAAGGGCGATCGGGGTCTGTCAACGCCAGTAGTGGTGCATGAAGAAGGTTGTCTTTGACTCTATTAAAAGCCTCCCGATGCTCGGTGTCCCAACACCATACTGTATCCTTCTTAAAGAGATTAGACAATGGTCGTGTCATATCCGCATAATTTGCGCTATACATGTGCAAGTTGTTTGCGGGGCCAAGCCACTTACGCAAGTCTTTTTGGTGCTTTGGAACCGGTTAATCCACAATGGACTTGACCCTAGCGGGACCCGCTCGAAGGCCACGCTAGAAGTATCCCAAAAAGGATATTTCCTCCGCGCCGTAGATGGGCTTATCGGCATTAGCATACAGCTTATTCCTGCGCAAGCACTCGAGCATCGCTAGCAAAAGGACGATGTCGTTTTTCGCGTATATTCTTTCTTGCTCCGCACGACTGTTGGCGAAGATGTCGTCGAAGAATGTCTGTGCATAGCCCGGTGGGGCCTGGACAATGGCGTCACAAGACGATTAAATGTTACAGATGCATTTGACAGCCCTTGAGGCATCACTAGCCACTCCTATAGTATCCCGCTCGGTGTACTCACCGCTGTCAGCAAAATTTAACTTGCTCTCATAAGCAATCGGTAATAATTATCGACCAATCGAGTGCGCTGTTCACGATACATATGATGTTTAGCTAACTGCCCTCGGATCAGCAAGACAAGCCCCATATACTTTGTCTTCTGTCAGCTCTAAAAAAATAGCGTAATTGTCGGGTAAGGTTTGTAAGGTTTGTGAGCGTCAATTGCTTGCATGTGGGGCCCTTGCAAAGGCAATTATACCTCATGAAGTTTATGTTTAATGCCAATCATATTGTTCTGAAGAACATCTTTTCCAGGAATCGGCGTCTGTGCCGGAATAGTGTCTGCGTTCAGCTGATTATAAGCGTGAACGATACGCCAATTGCCGTTCGGCTTTCGGACACAAACTGTGGGTGTCGAGTCGGGAGATTTGCTCTAACGCACCATTTCTGCGTTATGCTTCGCACGGATAAAGACGTCAATGACATCACACTGCTCTTTGGGCAGGGGCCATTGGCGTGTTACACAGTACTTGGTTTCCGGAACTAGGTCAATCTCATGACGCACACCTCGGTCCGGAGGTAGGACCGGCGACGGGTCTTTGGAGACGATGTCTTGGAATTCTATTATTGAATGATTATAGGGATCCAAAGGATCCTTCAGGATCGACGTTCCACTTCGTGCGTTTAGCACCTTCTTAGTGTCCTCCAGGACGAGTTAATCTCCTCGATCGGTCTTATAATGACCATCTCGGTTAAATTGCCTGCATTCAAGGCACCGTCAAACGCTTCGGAGGACATCTCGTCCAGCTCAAGAAGGCAATCCGCCGCGGAAATTTCCTCAAAGGTGACGATGCCGTCTTCCTCTTCCGTCATACCGTTGACAAGGGAATATAGCAGTGAGCTAACGTCTACTGTAGACACACCCTGGGTCAGGGTCGACGCCCTGCGTCTTGCAGAAAGCTTACGACTTTGCCGTCTCCTCTCTACTGAGGTTTTACGTCTCATCGAGACAAGTGGGAACACGCACTCGGCGTCGTCCGGTGTCCCCACTCCCTGCTCCATCGGAGCCTTGATGGTATTATCAACATTCGACGACGAGCTGCAATCTCCGCAGTCTTTGTCCAGTGGATAACGTGCCGCTCTACGCAAATCAAAAGGGCCTTGTCCTCGATGCCTCGGACCCCGTCCGATCATGCCACCCTTGGTATGCAGAAACGACTTCGTAACTTGGGCAGTGCTTCGTAGGTTACGTACCACTCCACGTGCATCACTAGGGCCTTACCCTCGATTCCTCGGTCATTGGCCGACCATGCTACTCATGGCATGCAGCGACTGCTCAAAAACTTGATCAGCGCTGAGTGCGTTACGTGCCACTCCACGTTCAGCCCGCAAGCCACGCTCGGGACACCTGTCCAAAACACCTTTAGTGTTTGGCAACTCAGATACTACGATATCCAGCACATTGACCGTCCCGTTCAAGCGTCCATGCCAATAGCGCATCTGCTTCTTAGCAGAGGTGGTTTCATGTCTCACCAAAGCTCCATTAGGAGACGTGCGCGTAACGCCCAAGGTCTTCGACCTTCAATCAATCCATGGCTCATGGTGTTCCAACCATGCTATACCAAGGAAAAGGTCATAACTTGCACCAAATCTACGGCTTAGCAGCGTTCCACGCTATCAAAGTCAAGAAACTTGACACCGAGATCCACAGGGGACCCTTGGCACAGTGACACAATTCCCCGTCGCGAAGTGAACAGTGACGGTGTCACTTAACCGCGCTTCCAGCACCTCAGTATACACCTGACTTCCTTCGCTCGTGGAGCATCTAGCATAATTGCCCGACTCACCGAAATCGACAAAGATCGTCCATGGCTTTTCAGAGCCCTTCACGGTCGCTTTCACGACCAGCAAGCCCGGCTTGCATACATGTTACGTATTCAAGAGCACGGAGCTCTTCAAAGCTGGGCCCTGCTGCCCCTTACCTCTTTGAGGCACAACAGAACTCAGTTATTCCCCCAGTCGGGCGCCCCACACCAACTGAGTGATCTCGTTCCCCGCGTCAAACCAGTCTGGTTTGATGCGGGACGTCGATTAGACGAACAATTACGCGCCTTGTGCGGGGGGACAACCTGTCCGAAGGTGACGAATGTCTCCACAGACAAAACACCGTCGGGTGGTTAGCAGGCCCAGCAGCTCGACGCTCTGCTTTCTCTCTCAGCATAGCTGAGGTCCATCAGCTCAGGCCCGCTCGACAAGCTCTGAGGGTGTACATTCCAACCAAGTCGTGCCGACTTGACGTTGAATTCGGCATTCAATGCCACGTTCACCGCTTCTTCAAATAGAAAACGGATGATCACGGAAGACTTTCATTCTGGCCACGCCAGCGCGGAGGCCCTCCATAAAGACGGTCACTGCGACCGCCTCGGGGCGAGGATTTACTGCCATTCCGGCAATGAGAGCTCTCAACTCTTGGACAAAGTCCACCAACTCCTTCTTGCCCTGTCGGGCAGCAAGGAAA